GACGGGGTGCCTGCCTCCTCTCCTCCTCCAGGAATTTGCTGGCCTCTGCGGGGCTCTCTTCATTGCATTTGGGATCCTGGGGGCATTGGCTCTCAGCCTCTACGTGGACCGGACCAAACATTTTACCGAAGCCGTCAAGATTGGCCTTTGCCTGACATCTCTGGTCTGTGTGGCCTTTGCCTTGGTGAGAGTCCTCTTGAGCGGAGACCATCATGCAGGGGTGGAAGTGGGGTCCCCCTGGAGGGACTCTAATGGACACCCAGACCCTCTCAGGCCCAGGTGCTGCCCTTGGGTGGTCCACAAGTGGGATAGGACCCCCTGGCCTCCCTGCCCTTGGGCGCTGCCACTCAGCTGAGACAGGGGGCTGGTGCAGGGCCTGGCAGGGCCTGGCTGTCCAGGGCTGCGGCATGTCTGAATGCACCCCATCTGTCTGCGTGGCTCGCTTCCCCCAGGTGTCCCAGCTACAGGGACAGACCCTTGCGCTGTCCGCCATCTGCTCGCTGCTTGGGCTCTTCGGCTTCTCTGTGGCGCCCGTTGCCATGGAGTTGGCCATTGAGTGCTCCTTCCCTGTGGGCGAGGGTGCGGCCGCTGGTCTGGTCTTCGTGCTGGGGTAAGTGCCCAGCCTCCACTGCTTCCCTCCCCTCGCCCCACTCCACGCGACACAGCTGGTGACCTGCCTGCTCTGGCAAGAGCCTAAGTCTTCTGAGTGCCTGCTGTGTGCAGGCCTGGGCTGGCCACTGGAGCCCACACTGACCAGAGTGGCGCTTGGCCCTCGGGGTGACCACAGGCACGTGGGCAGCAAGCAGCGCCCTGGGCAGGGCTGAGGCTTTGTGGCTGTGCAGGCAGGCGGAGGGTGTGCTCACCATGGTGCTGCTGACCGCTCTGACTGTGCGCCGCGCGGAGCCGTCCTTCTCCACCTGTCAGGACGGCCAGGATCCGCTGGACTGGAAGGGTGCGTCCTATGGGGGCCCCGAGTGCACAGGCCCAGAGGTCAGCCCCCACGCCTGCCCTGGGTATCTTCCCTCCATGGCCGCTGTCCTTGATGGGTGGGTGCAGGGCACCCACAGGGTGGGGATGGGTCGGATCAGAGGGCAACAGGTGGAACTCTCCGGCTCAGCCTGGTGGGAGCAGCCTGGGACCCTGATGGGAGCCCAGCCGCTAATCCCCATGTGAGTGCTTCTGAGATGAGGTCAGGGAGAAAGCTAGAGAGACAGACAGAGAGAGGCAGAGACAGAGACAGAGACAGAGAGAGGCAGAGGGACAGAGAGAGACAGAGACAGAGAGAGACAGAGACAGAGACAGAGAGAGGCAGAGACAGAGAGAGACAGAGACAGAGAGAGAGAGACAGAGGGACAGAGAGAGACAGAGACAGAGACAGAGAAAGGCAGAGAGACAGAGAGAGACGGAGACAGAGAGAGACGTAGAGGCAGAGAAACAGTCGGAGAAAGGGCTGCTGCACGCCACGTCTCCAGACCTGACGCAGTGACCTTGGAGCTCACGGCTTACGGGCCCTGGGTCCGTGAACCCGCCTTTGGGGCCTGTTGGGGGCCTGGACAGGATCTATTCCCAGGGTCACTCCGTGGTCACGATTAGTGGGGTCCACAGGGCTCTGCCAGCTCTGTGGCCCCCGCACCTGTGTAGGGAGCTCTGGCTGCTGGGTGAGCCTCGGGCAGAGCTGGGCCGTGTCTCCCCAGGGTCCATGCTGCTGATGGCCGGCCTGTGCACTTTCTTCAGCTGCCTCATGGTGCTCTTCTTCCATGCCCCGTACCGGCGCCTGCAGGCTGAGGCTGACGCGAGCCTCTCCATCCAGGAGGACACGTACCCGGCAACCTCGGACCACATACCCCACCTGGCAGCCACCCCCGAGGCTCTGCCTCAGCACCCACCTAGCCCCCAGCACGAATCCGGCGAGAAGCCTGGGACAGCTCCTTCCTGGAACCTGAGCTCCTGACCCTGCCTCCCTCCGCCTGGGAGCCCTGGGCCCCCCGGGCCCCCCAGGGACATCATGGGGGCCCTGCAGAGGGCTAGAGGCCAAGGTAGCTTAGTGTGTCAAGAAGCAGGCCTGGGGACACGAAGGGGAGGTGGGGAGAGGCAGGCTCTGGTCACCCCGGCTGTGCCAGTCATGACTGTGCCTGGGACAGTGTCAGAATCCGGGGGGACTTGGGGCATTAAACACCCAGGGCCTGGCAAGCTGGCCCAGGGGACACTCTATGGCTGTAGCAGGAGCTGCTGCTCTGTAGACAGGAAGCCACTGACCAGGCTGATGCCCCAGGGGTCAGGCCAGACTCAGGGTATCTGATGAAGGGACTATGTGTGGGGAGGCTGGGCTGGCCTGGGGGGCATAGGCAGAGGGGAACTGTTGGGTTGGGGCCCCTGGGGGCCCCTGCATGGCTGAGCCTGTAATGGACAGGTGTGGGGAAGGCCTCCCTTAAAGGATCTCTCCCAGAGCCACTCTTAGCCTCTGCTGACGACTGAATGACAGACCTCCAGCTGGGTGCCAGCACAGGTGGGGAGAGCAGGTGGGGCCAGGCTGGGCTGGAGAGAGGAGCAGAGGGTGGGCCCTGGGCCCTGGGCAGACCCTCCCACACCCAGGGGAACAGCTTCTCCCCCCGGCAGAGACACTTGCAGGCAGGTTTGGGTTCACTTTTATTGAGCCGGCCACACCCGGTGGGGGGGCCCTCACTCCCTCTCCTCCCCATGAGTGAGCACATAGCTCAGTGCCTTACGGTCCAGGTTGCCAGCAGTGTCGATGGTTGAGAACTGGAACATCTGGTCTACCTGCGGGTTTGGTGGGGGGCGTCAGGCCCAGGCGGTGGGGGCAGAGTGGAAGGGTCCCCAAGGTCACGACCAAAGGGTGAATTACAGGCACTAAACTCCAGGCTCTGTCTTGTTTCTGTGCTTGCGGGGAAGGGAGGTGGGGGGGAGACCCTGCAAAGCGAGAGGTGTGGCTGAGGCAGGCGTCCCCCTTCCTGGACCCTGAGTGTCCCACCCACCCCAATGCTGCAGTCTCTAGGGGGCTGGGGCACATCCCCCTCCGGACCCCCAAGTCCCCAGGGCCATCCTTGGACTTCACAGAGGGCCATGGGGGAAGAAGGTGGGGTGGGGACCGAAGGCCAAACCTCGTCAGCAGTCATCCTGTCAGCCTGGGACATCAGCAGCCTCCTGATGCTGAGGACAGGGAGGGAGGGGGCGGATTAGGCTGATCTGGAGGAAGGGGTCAACCTGGAAAGGACAGGTAGCCCCAGGGGAGCCCTGTGAGGGGTCAGTTTACACCACGGCTCCTCCGTGGGGGGCAGGGCTCTTTGCTGGTGCCTCGTGGGAGCCTGGCCCTGGGGAGTCCGGCGCACAGGGTGGGAAGAGAGGCACAGGGAGCCCTTCCTGACTCTCAGCCCTGAATATGCCCATTCACGGTTCTTGGCCGAAGGAGCTCCCTAAGGGGCTAAGGACCCCATGATAGTCCGAGTGGCAGTGACCACTGACCCCAGGTGGGTAGGACTGGTCCTGCCCTCAGTTATGCTGAGCAACCCAGGATCTGGGCAGGCCAGTCAAAGCCCGGAACCTGGGGGGGGGGTAAGCTGGGTGTCCTTCAGACCCGGGAGATGCCTGGCGCCCGTGGCCACACTCCCTCGTCCTTGTTAATGCTGCCTTTGCCGTCGGGGTCCAGCATCTTGAATGCGCTGAGGATGGTCTCCTCGGCGCCCATACCTGCGCACAGGAGGCATGAGCCACGGTTGCCCAGGGATCCATACCCTCTGCCTGAATGGCCCTCCTGCCCTGAGCACCTGGGAGACTCTCAGCTTCCACCCTGGGGGGCCTGTTCTCAGGGTCCCCACTGTCCCACCAGGCCCAGAGCTGGTGGGGGACAGCGCTCAGTGAGGGACAGAGGCTTCCGCCAGCGGGCAGAGGAGAGAGGCTGGCTCACCCGCTGGGGGGCTGATGGTGCCCCACAGGTGCCAAGTCCTGAACCCATGGGGTTTTATGTGAGATGTCAGGATTTCTAAGTAAACGCACACATGGCATCGGCAGACCCGCAGGCTGGCCCTGCGGCCACCGCTCAGCTTCTTTGCAAACATGTTGAGGAACATCGTGGAGCCGATGGGCCCCAAGGCCGCCCTGACCATAGCGTCCAGCTCCTCGTCCTCGACGTTGGTTTTGCCTGTGGTGGGTGGAGGGCGGGGATGTCACCAGCCCTGGTCCTACTGGTGCAGGTGCCCCACAGGGCCGTCCCAGAACAAAACTGGGGGCCCCGGGTTGGGGGAGGGAGGGGAGCCCAGGAGTGGTCAACAGAACCCCAGACTTGAGCCTGGGAGTTGGACTGAGGAGGGGAGAGGAGCCCAGAAGGTCTGTGATCTGCTTCCTGGGCAGAGGAAGGTGGGTTGGAGTGCACCTCCCGAGTAGAAACCAGCCTGCTCTCTGCAGCTCCAAGGGCAGGACCACCCCAGGTGAAGGACAGTGCCCCCAGATGGGGAGTGGAGGGAGGGCGCAGGCCTGGCTGTGCTGCCCGAGAAGGGCCAGCCTTGGGCTCTTCAGGGAGCGTAAGTGAGCTTCCCTGCCCTCTCCCAGCTCCATTCCTGGGCCCCCTTACCATGAGTGCCTGGAGGTCTGAGGGCAAGCCCCTCTTCCATGTGGAGGCGCTAGCCCCTCCCAAGAGCCCTGGTCTCAATCTCCTGCTCTGGGACGCCCATGCTTGGACTGGGCCACCCACCCCAAGATGCCCTCTGCCAGCCCTGATCAAACCAGAAGGGAGTTTCTCCCCAGGGAGGCCTGGCCCACCTCCTCACAGTCCCTGGGAGGTCAGATCAGGCTTTAAGGCTCTCTAGGGCTGGAGGACCCTCCTGCAGGAGGGTGGACTTTTGCCCCAGGGCATGTACACAGGGAGGCATAGGTGACCTTTAGGTCCTTGTCAATGAAGCCATGTCGGTTCTGATCCATTAGTATGAATGCCTGAAATGGAGGCCAGGGTCACTCGGCTGTGCTGAATGAGGCTCGTACAGGGCCTTGTCACCTGCATTACAACTCCCAGGGGACCCCTCAGGCAGGAGCTCCTGGGTGGAGGGGCTCCTGGTACCAGGGCAAAGCCTCACCTCCTTGAACTCCTGGGCAGGTCTGCTCAAAGTTGGGGAAGATGCTGGCCCTCTTCTTCCTTCTTGGTCTTCCTGCTGGCCTGAGATGAGAACACCAAGACTGAGGCTCCCTCAGCTTGCCCGAGGGTCTCCTTGGGCAGCACCCAGGCATTTGGGGGGACAATACAGAGGATGAGTGGACGTGGCACTTGGGGCTCCCGGGTTCCCTGAGCCTGGGTCCTGGGGTGGGGCAACTGCAGGTGCTTGGCATGGTCGGAGGGTCCCTGAGGAGGCCAAGGTTCATCCTGAACTGTGCCTGGTTCTGTCTGCAGTCCTGTCAGGGGGAGCAATGGCCTGTGCAGGTGGCCAGCTGATGGACAGGCTTGTTCAGTGGGTCCCACTAGGGTGCAGGCCAGGACACACCATCCTCCAGCCCCAGGCTGTCCCCAGGATTGTCATGGCATACAGATCCCCCACCAGCCCAGCACATGCACACCCTCACGTGCGTACACACACTCACACAGAGCACACTGGCTCATGTGATATGTGCACACACACTCATCCACGCAGTTGCACACACACATCATGGATCACCATGCCTGGGTCTGCCTGATGTGATGGTCTGTGCCCTCCCTGCCCAGGTCACCCGTCTTAAGCTCATACCCAGTCCCCCAGGACAGCTCAGACTCTGGCTGCCACTCCCTACAAGGACAGGCTCAGGGTTCCCCGGGGACCAGACAATTGCAGAGTGAGCTTTGGCAGCCAGCGGTCAGTCAGACGTCAGTCAGACGCCCTCATCCTGCCCGTCCAACAGGCCCCCAGCCTCCCCGGCACCTCCACATCTGTCCCTTCAACTCTGGAGCCTTTGTTTTCCTGGATTCTGTGCATATCCAGGGCCACCTGCTTGTGGGTGAGGGCCTGGGGGCTCCAGGAGCAGAGGAAGGAGGGCCTTTCCCAGATTCGCAGAGTTGCTGTGAATAGCCCTGGTGGCCAGTCATCAAGTGTTCCCCTGAACAAGTTTTGTGTGCCCTCACCTCCCTGATTTGGTGGCAGAGAAGTTCCAGGGCCCCTGACCCCAGCCTTGGGGCCACCCCTCCTGTCCCCATGGCAGGGAGCTCCTTGCCTGGCACACAGTGGGGGATAACATTTTTGAGATGGAGGATAGCCCAAATGGGCGGGACTGGGCCCCGCACTCAGACAGGTCTTCCCGCTACACCAGGGGCCCGTCGGCAATGTCTGGGGAAACTGGCCCAGGTGTCCGTTGGTGGTGCCAGACATCGGAGGTCCCTGGTTGGGGGAAGTGCAGAGTCAGGGGCTGGGAAGAATGGGGGTCTGCAGGCCTAGCAGGAGGAGGAGGCCTAGGGGAGAGGGAAGTGGGCAGACAGGATTCTGCAGTTTCACATCTGGAGAACAAGTTTTCCTAGCCCCCAGGACAGGTCTGGGTGGGGTTGGGGCATGTCTCTGAGCCACACAGCACCTGCTGAAGCTGGAAAACAGGGGTGCCCTGCTCCTCGGGGGGGGCACACACCTTTGGTCACATGGCACCCCTTAAGTGCTGCCAGCCGAGACCCCAGGGCCAGCTCACCATTCACACATCCAACTGGAGGAACCTAGGGGCTTCCGGGGGGCTCTGCCTAGAGGACCCCAGAGGGCGAACGTGTGACTAACTGGGGAGACCTGGGCCTGGCTGCACAGGGACCCTGCCACTCCCACCCAGGCAGGGTCTGGGTGTGACACCTGGTCCGACCTCGGCCAGGCTACAGGAGTGGGGAGCGCTCCACTGAGAGGGGAAGGCTTGTGGGATCTGTGCTCAGAAGGTCATGACTTGGGGAAAGCCAGAAGAGGCTAGCGGAGCCACTGGGAGGTTTCCTGGGGCTGGCGTGGGTCTGAGCACAGCATTAAAGACAGCGGTGGAGCCTGGCTCCTGGGAGAATATCAGGATTCAGAGTGGACACCAGCAGGCCGCCCCTGCGTCCCGAGCCAGGTGGGATGCCTCCCCACTAACCCCCTACAGTCCCCAGGAAGGACCCTGGGCCAATGTGGGTCTCCCCCCCACCCCTCACTTCAGGGGTCTTTCCTGGGGGGGCTTTGTGTGCATGTGTTCCTGTACCTGTGTGTGTCCTCTGCTGATTGCCACCCCCACAGTGAAGCTATTACTAATACTCTCGTCCACCTCCAGCCCAACAAACCCTTATTTTTGATTCTGGAGCAGGAGTTGCTGAGAAGTCTGGTTTATTTAAAACCCCAGGGAAGGGAGAACATGTTTGTCCCCTGAGGTCACCTGCCCAGCTGCTCAAGGGCAAGGTCAGGCGGAGGGCGGGTCGTGGGGGTGGTCTCAGCACTGCCTGGTGGCAGTGGAGAAGGTTGACTCTGGGCCTTGTGGTGGTCAGTTGCACTTACAGCTTCCTCAGGGAGCAGTGCTGTGGGGGTGGGGGCTAGCGAGGCCCTCCCCTGATCCCAGGCCTGCAGAAGCCTCTGGAGGCAGGACCCTCAGAGGGTTCAGATAAGGGCCCAGCTGCCCTATAGGATTGGCCTCACTGTTCCCACTCCCAGCCCAGGATACAGGTGATTTTCTAGTTTCCTTGCTGGGAGGCCCAGAGCCAGGACTCCCCAGTGAGTGGAGAGAGAGCAGGCTCTGCCCAGACCCCTGGAGCCACCCTTGGAGCCTCCCCTTGGTGCAGATTTACTGAGCACCTGCTACCTATCCTGGAGTTTTTGTCTCTGCATTCTGTTCTCTTTAGAATCACAGGTCCCCTTTAGAAACAGAAGCATGGTCTCCCTCCATAGTGGAGCCCCAGGCCCTGGTTCTCAGGGAGCTTATGCTGGGAGCAGAGCCCTGCCCATGGGGTGGGTGGTCCTCCACCAAACCCCCAAGCCCCGTTGCCATGGGAACCGTGTGTAAGCACAGCTTGCTCAGCTGGGAGGCTGTCTGGCCACCACTGCCCCATCTCTGGGCAGCCCCTCTGTATACAGCGGCTGGCCCAGCTGCTCCTTAACTGGGGCTGACCACAGAGCTGAGGGAGACAGGCGTCTCCTCTGAGGATACAGAGTACCCCGCCAGTGAGAATCGTGCCTCCCCAGCAGAGGGCAGCATAAGTGAGAGCCAGGGCCCCTCTGGGGATTCCTGGGTTGAGATGTACCTTTGAGCTTGGGGCTGCACGGTCCTGAGGGCAGGAGTCTGGGAGACGCAGGAAGCAAGCTCTGCTGGAGTGGACTTCCCAGGAGGACCCCAACCCCCTCTGCTGGAGTGGTTCCTGGGGTGAGGAAGCTGTAGCTCTGCTGGGGGGTTGGTATTGGGGCTGGTCACGTGCGGGAGGGGGCACCCCAGGCAGTATGGCCCCAGGACAGGGCTCTGAGTCCAGGGGGGCCAGCCGCTGCCACCCTTCTCCACAAGGCGAGGGGCCTGGGCAATGGACCTGCCCAGGGGTAGCCCGCCTGACTCAGGTCACACCCTGCATCAGGACGACCCCAAATTCTCTGACCAGAGCCTGGAGTCCCTTCCCGGGCCGTCCTCGGGGCTGACCTGGGGCGGCCTCAAGCATGGACAGGCCTAGGGTGGCTGGGGAACGCGCTGCAGCGTGGGCGGGGCGGGACAGCCCAGGCCAGGAGGATGGGGAGCGCTCTATTTTGTACTTTATAAGGAGGACTTATACTTTTCCAATATGTTATACCTATGGTGTCCGGACCTCGATTTTGGGCTCAACCATGCCTGAAAACATCAGGGTCTGCGAGAGTTTTAATCCCCCAGGGTGAGTACCCGCGGCACCGCCCGGAACATTGCGCATGAGCAATCAATCCAGCGGCGCCGGGTGACGTCACTCCTCGAACGGGCGCGCGCGCGCGCCGTTCCCTCGGGCCACCAGGGGGGCGCCCCGACCACC